ACAGCATGCAATCCCCCCATTATGAAGTGTTTTGTGGCAGCACTAGACATGGTTTGTCAAGAAGTAAATGGGGGAGAAATGTATATTGTCAGTAGGCATGTACGTGTATTACATTCTTAGTTATCAACACTGAGCATAAGCTTGGAGCTATCAACTTTGGGAATATTTCTTCACCCATATCTCATCACAAAATCATTATTCTTCACCTGCTTTTATAAAATTACTGATAACAAAAGCCAGTGTACAAGTATTGTCCTAGTTTGAATGTAAACAAGGACTCTTTTATAATACCAAGAAGTAAAGATTCAGTGATTTAATGAGAGAGAGAGAGAGAGAGAGAGAGGGAGAGGGAGGGAAAGAGCAACTTTTACTCAGTTACACATCACTATCTCAGTGATTTACAGTTTTAATCACTCAGAATCCCACAAACTCTCTCTCCCAGACCATACACGTCTGTGATAGTCACAAACCCACACAGATGCCCTAGAGCACCAATAAGCTGGCTCATTCCTACAGGATTCCCTGAGGGAGAACACTGCTTTATAGCTTCCAGGCTATTATAGTATCAGGGCACACAGAAGCTGTGAGGGCAAAGCCTTGAACACTTCACTTATGTCAGGAATATGAAAGGAAAGCAAAAAATATACTGTCTGATAGTGATTGCCACTTTTTTTCTTTAAACTACACCTTCTAAGGCTGGTATTACTCGATCCTGCATTTATTTACCCATCTATTTTGGTTGTTATATGATTGTTCTACTTAATTCTGTAGCTGTTTCTTTTTAATGAAATTATGAGAACTAAGAATACAAAAGTTGGTGGCCCTCAATCTTCCTTTTTTTTCTTTCTTTCTTTCTCACGCTTAGAAATACATCCAGCGACTTTCTAAAATCTCTTTTTGAGCTTAAAGACACACTTTCTTTCTAAGGGGAATGAGATTTCTTCTAAGAAAAATAGGCCCTATTTAAGAATAAAATAAATTCACTTTTTAAAAAATCTAGAAATACTACTAGGCTAATGGCTTTATCTCGCCATGTATGTGCTACCTGCCAGCTTTTTCCACTTATTTAGATAACCTTTCCCAGAATTCAACATTAACATCCTGGGTTTTTTTATTCAAATGTTATATTATTTTTATAGCATATTCTTGAGTTGTTCACCTCAGCCTTGTCATTTACCACCTGACAATATGTCACCTATTTGATCATTATCCCCAGTATGTCATGCTGGAATTTACTTCCTCATTCAGGTGTGACATTGAAAGTCGATAACAATCCATGTTCATTTTCGACCTAGCAGTAGAAAAAGTATCGAATCAGTGAAAAAGTGGTTTTAAAGTTAAACAGTTGACAAAGTTTGATCTCATGTCCCTCATAGCAGGCTTGTCCAGCCCACACAATCACCTGTGTGGATGCTGAGTTTTGTTTGAAATAAGCATGCACACTGTACTTCACCATCTACAACACTGACAGGTCTGCAATAAGACAGGTCAGACTAAATGTACGGAAGTGTGTAATATAAATGGTTTCAGAACTGAAACAGAATAAACAAGAAAAAAATCACGTATCAGTTTCAATTTCAGATGTCTGAGGTGCAGTGGGAGGACTCTGTTAAACCTTGCTACATATCTAAGATGCATTTGAAGTGAGTTGGCGTGGCAATTTTCTGGGAAAAATAACTATAGTAAATGTTACCATACAGTTTCAAATAGCCTAACTAATGAAGTACCAAAAAGGACTATTTCATGTTTCCCAAAAATGACATTTGAAAATTCTGATATTTTCTGTGTCCTCAAGTTACCTGCCATTTAGACTTCCTACAATGAGACCTCATCTAGTTGGCTCCCAATACATGGTTTTTATTTTATGTGAACACGGATATCTAATCTTTGTTTACTCCTCTGATAAAAATACAACCCAGGCTTATGTACACATATAATTTTGAAATAATCATTATCAGGATTATACTAGCTGTAGAAAATAAATATTATCCTTAAATTAGCCTCACAAAAATCTCACCAATCTAACCAAAAATGTGGAATGACAATCTAAAGTTAACAGATATTTACATCTGGTTGCTCAATAAGAAAATACAAAATGTTAAAAAATAAGTACCAGTAGAAGACAATACAATATCATCAGACGTTTTTCTAAAAACAGAAAAATATGCTTGCATGACCCTGTCCACTATTTCATGACTATATGAGGTCTTTAACACTACTTGAACCCTGCCATGACACTTGCTTGCTGACAGTAATATTACCAGTTATAAAATACAGCCTTGTTGTCTTCAATAAAATACATAAAGACAAGGCCAGCCAGGCACTAGGATCTTAATCTTATCATAGACCATTTGAGTCATTTACATGAAAGGCTGAAATGCATGGGTATTCTGAAAATTTTTCTGAGTAAATTATCTACACGTAACCAGCTTTCTAGGAATTCCATTAAAGCCCCTTTTATCAATTATTTCCCTTCATTATAAATCATTTTCTTCCCACAATAGTTCTGCAGAGAGTTAACGATGAGGTTGCTCCTGTAAATTGTTGTTCAGGTATATCATTTAAGATCAACCACTTCTTTACATCAGTGCAATCTTTTCTCTGTATATTGATTCAAAATATCAATTCTGTGGTTTAATCAAATCTCAGCATGGAATACTGAGTCACAGATGTGTACATACGTCTCCACTTTCTCTCAGTATCTGTTACCTATTCATTTTAATAAAGAAAACTTTGATTCAAAGGTCCATTTACTATGTCCAGCACTTTTTGGTTGGCTGCATTTCTATTGTGACAATCATCCACTACACAAATTCATGTCAATTATTGCATCTTGAATATGATATGTGTCACGTCAAGGAAGCCATTCACTTCTTAGCTGCCTTATACCCATAACAACTTTGGTGTTGTAAAATCTATGCTAAACAACAGTTATCCACAGATGGTCTTACAACATTTGGTTCAAAACTACTTCTTGGTTCATCTGATACTTTCCCAATTTTTTTTACTACATTGGGAAAGGGGTTTACACATGGGAAGCTATATGTGCAAATATAAATAAAAATTACACAAATTCAAAAACATGGATGGGGGGGAGGGCATGTGTGCCACATGTCAGCCCATTCCACCTTTGGGTATTGGCATTTTTGATTTGTATAATCCCTACAATATCAGCAAGGTTTTGAAAAGTCATTTAACACTAGACAGCAAAGCTGGCAAGCATACTAGTACTGACACCAGTAATTTTTTTGACTAAGCCAAGTCTTCTAGCAAACCTAATGTAAAACAGAATCACGTTACTAGTAATTATATGGGTTACAAGGATACATGCAAAAATAATAATAATTAAATAAATAATAAAATTAACGATTAAATTAATTAATAAATTACTGATAAAATTCAACATTTTGTTTAATAATTAAATTTTGCTGATTTTCTAATAAAACCTGCCTGTTTATCAAATAAAGCTCCATACTAAATCTAAAGTAAAACAAGTAAAGATGATATGGTTTGGCTCCTTTGGAACAAATGTTGCACAAATATATATTTAAAATCCAATCACTTTCAGGTCTGACTTGTTGCAATAATTAATAAAATTGTATCACTTGAACGAATATTTTTCTTTTATAGTTTATTGTACATTTTCAATTCTCTTTCACTTTTACAAAATTACAAATTCATTATAGGCCGTAAATCACAAGAAGTTTTCAACCAGGAACTACAGGAACATAACAACCTGGATATTATCTATGACAAATGAGATGACCTTACCCTCATAAATGTACCTGTGTCCAATGAACTACTCTTCAGCCTGTTAAAAATGCCTGCTGGTCTCCAACCCTATTATATGACACTCAGAGATGAGTCTCAAAAATCAGTCTGGAAAAAATAGTGTAATCTGTCACAGACCTCACGTAAACTTGCACTTTGCTGTAGACGGCAGCATGAGTTTATTCAACTCCTGATTCATCAATCCATGATGAATTTCAAAGGATTCTGTGAGTCACTGCACTTAATATAAATTCAAAAATCCCCAAAACAACCTGTAGTTATGTCACGACAACCGGCTACATGCTGCACGTGAGTGTTAGTGTTAGTCAGCGTGCGGTCGTGTCCGAGGACCCACCCCGCCCTTTTTTATTTGCGTTGACCAAGCAAATGGACGTCGACTTTTCCCACGTTTGTATCGGTGGTCTAATTTTTTTCCTACTGATCAAAAATAGAATTCAAACGAATCACTACATTTGATAATGGATAATTTTCCTTTAAAAAGCAACTGCCTTACACCTGTTTCGTTATCAAATAATTTAAGACATAAAAAGTTGATTTCTATCACAAACATTGGTGTATTTTCCATCTGAAATGTCACTGGTAAAATCATTTCTATGCATTCATTACAGTACCCGGTGTATCTACCACAGGATTTGAACCTAAACTCTTGACGGGAAACATAATAACACTCACCTGTTCGGCTAGGAGATTTCTGTCTATGTTCACTTGCTGGCCGTAAACGATTCTTATGTTGAGCGGGCAACTGTTGCTTTTAGAAGAAACCAACAAGAGCACGTGACGTCACCCGGAAGTAAATAGTCGGTCGAAACACGACAACCAAAAACTGAAAAACAATATCTCATACCCAGGTGCTCGGTAATATGATATAAAAACACCTTAAGATTTGTTGTTTGGTCGAATTTATGCTCAAGAAAGATAAAACAAGCAAATCTTAAACAGAAACATTGTCGTAATCATGCCGGGAATAGTCTCTAAGCCAAACACAAGGAAAGGCGATAGGTCTCTGTGTCTGTGATGTTTTGATGCACGTTTTCACGCGAACTGAATCACAATTTACCATCTTTTTCCATTTCTGTTTTATGAGACAGATTAAGAATCACGGCCTTTGGATGAAATCGCCTCAGTAGTTTTGGCATAAAATTGACGGTGCAAGCCGCAGGATTATAGGGGTCAGGCCAGGCCTTACCTTTAGTTGGAAGTTTATAACCTTTGTCGAGGTGGAGAGAGATGCAGCAGGGAGGGACCGTGCGGTTCCTCAATCACCACCAAGGTAGCGTACGAGGAGTCGCTTTCCACCCCAAGGTAAATACACCTGATGAGTTGCTGATATGTGCTCAATACATTATATTTTTGTGTACTAAATCTCTAGACCCACTGAGAAAGTACTTTGTTGAAATTAAAATTAACGTCATTGAGATGCTGTTGTTTTCCTGTGTGCTAGAAAATATTGTGTGCATAATTAAATATTACATTTTGCATGTTAGTATCATCTTCAATTTAATATCAGATCAAGTGTTTTATTGTCAGTTTTCTTATTCTAGCACACCTGTTTGACTTAAATTGTTCTACTAGTATATCTTAACTAGGGTAGAGTAATTGATAAGAAGCTAGGACAATATGTTACCTATGATAACAGTTAACCTTTTCACCTATCATCTAGCTTGAAGTTCTGTGTATATATTTATTTATTTATTTATTAACGTGGACATGTGATATGAGAACATCACCCGGCCTCATGGGCCTACAAGTCACCATACTTTATACATACTGCAGTATATCAGAAACAGAGAATATAAGTAAAAATACTGAAGAACATGTCATAAACAGCTAATGGCAGTACATGCTAGTGCTTGAAACTTTGTGCTACTCATACTTCTGCCCTGCATATGTTACATACTTTTGATTGATCGAATATTTTTGTTACCAACAGAGACAAAATTTATGAGAAAAAAAGATATTTTCTATTATTGAATCCTAGGATGTTGTAGAACCAGGTCTCTTAGAAACCTATAAATAAAAGTAATAAGGACATTGAATATTTCTAGATGCATTAACCCCCTCCTTCTGAAATAACATAGCTCACACTGTCACTAAAGGAAAAAAAATTGGTGACATTGATGAATATTAGGCAGGCTCTAATCAATTTCCATGGCCACCATTCCTACACTACAGTTTCACACCATTGTTCCCGTAATGAGAAAAGAAATAAGAGATTCTGAAGTGGTGTCTCCAACACCTCTTCCTATAAAAACTTATACATGAATTGACAAATTATGGCTCTTGGCAAAAGCAATCATTGTCTGCGGCATGCTTGTTAGTGTATAAAGTTCAGAGATGAGTGCCAGAGATGGTTTTGACTGACATCATCTGTTTAGATTATCTGCTCAAAGAAATCTGCGGTCTTTATTATTTATCACATTTAAGGTAACAGATGCTAAATCCAAAGAAAACATCAGACGATATTAAACTTACATCATTGGATAGCATTGTGTCACATTATTTGACATCAGTATCATATGCATGTACTTGTGCTGTTTACTTCAAGTGTGGTACCTGTATCCCTCTGCAATGTCATCATAGAGCAGATATAATGGAAGTGTTTTTTTTTTCCAAATGAAATATATAGAAGAAACCTCAATCAGGTGGAAATGATGGTGAAAATTAAATTAAATTACTGTAACTGTAGATCATACTACAATAAGAAACTATGACCAAATGCCTAGAAAATGCAATAGATAAATACTAGTTAAGGAAAAGCTGCCATTGTCTATGTTGGCAGTATGCCACTGTACATTTGAACTGAATACAAAGTTTATGCACCATTTTTTTACTTTCAGGATAGATATCTTTTTTGCTCAGGGGCGTATGATGGGAAAGTGAACCTCTATACTGCACAACGATGTGAACTTTTACATAGCTATGCAGTGAGTCACAATCATGTCTTTTTTTATTTTTCATTTAAATACTTTCTCTTTTTCTAAAGGCATCTGTCCAGGTGGATAAATTAATGAAGGGGTGAACCTTTGAAATTTTTGAATAAAAGTAATGAAAGTTCTATAAACATAAGTTGCAATTTACTTGAATTCATTTCTGTGCACCTGTCTATTCTTGGTGTTTTATGAAGCTTTGTACAAAACATAACATGTATTTTTTATACATTATTTGTTCATTAGCTTGTTGTATTACATTCCAAAATTCATAAATCACTGTATGTTGTCAATCATGGATAATTTGCAAAATGACAAGTATATTTGACACAGTAAGTGGAAATGTATTTAAAAAAACTTTGAGATAACATCATAGAATTTTATTACTATTACACATCTAGATTTTCAAATGACAAATTTTTATGAGGTATCACAGATTAAAACTTTGTGCTTGTTCTTATCTTAACCTTTATTTTTGTTTTTCATTTTAGATAACAACAGTCAGTTTGGCACGCAATATCAATGCAGTCAGGTTTAGTAGTGATGGTCACAGGGTGAGTTAGAAAACAACGGAAAAGAAATCAAGTGTCACCCTTTAAACTACTGACACTAGAGTTAACCTACTATGTGTCACCAGAAGACTGGATGATAAGGGAAAACCCTGTTTCCTTGCAGAATTCTAAATCTGGCATGAATCCATACAGTCAACTAGTGATGGCATTGGCATTATTACCATTCTGTAGTCATCTGGTGCTGGTATTGGCATTATTACCAGTCTGTAGTCATCTGGTGATGGCATTGGCATTATTACCAGTCTGTAGTCATCTGGTGCTGGCATTGATATCGATACCAGTGTGTAGTCATCATCTGATGACATTCACATTATTACCAGTCTGTTATGGTCCTGTTGTAAAAAAAAGCTTTAGTTTGCTTTATAAACCTACACTACTTAATCTACAATTCATCAGTTATACAAACAGAAATCCTGCTCCTCAGAATCTTTGCAAAATAAGTCTCTGATGATGAGTAACTTAGTTTTACAAAGTTAATTTGTGATGTGAATTATCATATGAAATGGGCTTGTAATTGTTAAAAAGGAAATGGACTTGTAATCCTGATGTTACTTTCTTTCTCTTCCAGTTAATATGTACCAGCACTGCACGAAGACTGACAGTGGTGGATGTGGAAAAAGGGGACCAAATACTTGCATATGATAACTGTGAGTAGAATATCATCCATTTCCGTTTTATATGATTACTGCGAGTGGAATATCACAAATCTCTGTTTTATATGATAACTGTGAGTAGAATATCACCCATCTCTGTTTTATATGATTACTATGAGTGGAATATCACCCATCTCTGTTTTATATGATTACTGTGAGTGGAATATCACCCATCTCTGTTTCATATGATAACTGTGAGTATAATATTACCCTTGTTTGTATAACAACATTACGCAATCCATGTGCATGTTTTCTGTAGAGCAATGTGAAGCTAGCGATGTATCCATAAATTATGCACGGAGCACAGCTGATGTTATCATTTGATTGACTGTCAGTCAATCTGAGCTCGATTTTAAAAAATTATATTTTAATTATTGTCCAAAAAGCTTCAGTGAAATGTGTTAAATTTGTCTTAAAGTTTACAAATAACCATGATATTCCTGGATAGATAAATCAGAATGTACATTCTATATGGCTGTTCAAATGAAAGTGATTAAAGCCTTGATGGAACATTACTTGAGGTAATCAACATTTAATTGATCCTTAATTTGAAATGTTAAAATTGCTCAAAATTTGCCTATTTTAACTACTGCTGTGTCATGCAATGACAATGTTAAAATATCAAGTTGTGAGTCATCCTTTTATAGGCTGAAGCTGACCTTGTACAATTTTTTCAAAATGACACTGCGACATTTATGAACTGCAATTATTATTTGGCTTCAGTAGCCTGAAGGAAATTGTTTCAGAATAGAAATCCGTTATTGTCATTGTTGTTGTTAAGCTGTTATATTTACTCATTTTTTGGTACATGATTGTTAAGTGGGTTGAGGAAATAAGTAATTTAAAAACAATTTCATAATGAAAACCAATGTCTATTTTATTATTATTTTATTTATTTATTTATTTATTTTTTAATTTTTTTTTTTTTTTTTGCATTTCAAGGTCTAGATGGCTGTGTTGATAAAACATCAAAGTCTTAAATACAATATGATGTGAGGTGGGGACTTATAAAGGTTGGGACATTTTCTTGGATATTTAAAAGAATTAAAGATGCACAATGTCCATTAGATATTTGAAAATGTCATTGTATTTAGGTGCTTTCAATGGCCGTGACAGGACGGGTCTGGCTGTGGATCCCATCACTCCTAACATGGTTGTCTGCTGCTGTGTCAATGGAAAGGTAAGAGAGGGAATACTGTAGTTCTTTGTGCCATCAGTCTGTTATTCCAATGGGTTTCATTTATTCGGATAAAATTTTCTACATTTGTTCAGATGACATGCTTTGGTATAAAAAAATGAATGATTACATTTTAAATAGTTCTACAAATTGTTATTGTTTGACTCAAGAATTTGATTTGGTAAATTTGCTCAGCCCTTTTTTTAAATAAAATAAATACAAGAGTGAACCCAGGCAAGTATGTTAATATTTCCTCAAATGTAGCATCTCCCCTCAAGCAAGCGGAAATTAGAAATAGACCATTTTTTTCTCAGTTTTCTCAATACTTCAATGGTAAGTCTTCACCAATACTAAAACTGAATCTTTGGGGATTAGAGATGTTGCTGAGAAAAAAAATTGTCTCAGACTGTGCGCTAAGTGGTTGGCAGCTATACAGACATTCACTTGTGATCTGTTAACACAGGTTATAGTGTGTCGCACAGTAAGTCTGATTACAGACGGCCCTATTGACAAATGAAAATTGATTGCATTACACCCTGCATAGAGGTAAACAGCTCCACATCTGTGAACATGCTGCTGCACTGAGGTGAATGGTATGGGAATTGAGCTCCCTGACACTTTGTGGCTGCTTTGAATTACTTATAAATGGCAGGTAACCTAGAAACTATTGGAAAACGTTTTTCTAAGAACTGACGTGATCAATACTGCTTCATCAAAATAGAGACCAATTTGCCCAATGTGTTAAACTTCATGAAATGGGAGGCTCATAATTACAGTTAGATGAAGTTAAGGTTTCATCAGCTGTCATTTTGCATTTTCATATCTCTACAAATATGTAATCATTATTTGGCCTGCCCTTTGATGACTTCACGTGTGAAATTAACACATTTTAAGCTAGTTTTTGTTAAAGAAAAAGTGTGGCTTGATGGTCCAGAATTGTTATTTGCATTATTTGAAGTGCAGCATTACTGCATTTATTGAAGTAATACAAGTGTGAAATCATATGACAAATAGAAATATACCTTTTAATAGACAGGGCAAATTGTCTTATTCTCAGTTCAGTATATAGAGAAATATGATCCCCCAAAGACCATCAACATGGCAAATGTGACGAGATAGTAAAAAGTAGACTTTGTTTCAATTATGATTTTGAGATGACTGCTTGTTCCTTAACCCTCAAAATCAATTATCTTATTGAAAGTAATATTATTGGTTCAGAGATTTTTGGGATTTACATCACCTGTGAATTCATGTTATTACCAAATATATCAAATAATGACAACAAGGCTAAATAAAATGCCCATTTTTTGCACCTTTTGCTAACTTTAGCACCTTCTATCAATGTCAAGGCCCGTTGGTTTTATAGCACGGCCACCCTGTAATAAATGGTCATGTATTTGTCTATCATTACGCAATATCAAACCGATTATAGACTGCCGATGAAATAAAAGTTACTTTATAAGCCTCTTTTCAGGATCAGCGTCTAGTCTACTAAAAGTCTTGGAGTGGTCTTGTAGTGATGTTGCAGTGGTTTCAGTGGGCGTAGTGCATGCAATATGCTGGATTACGTATGTTCATGCTGAATTTTCTTTGCCATTGCAGGGTCTTAGTCTCTTTGATCTCAGAATGCCATTACCTTTGGACTTATTGTATGATGTGAGTATTATGAAAATAATTAACAATTTTTTCTTTGAAATCTGTTTTTATATGCTATATTCCAGTGACAGTTTCAAATAGACATAATAAAGATATTTACACAACAGTACTAACTGAAGGAAACTAGTATTAGGATCATTTTTTTATTGAAAAAGTTGATTGCATTATTTTATTTATTGATACAAGATGGTGCTCATTACTATTGTATTTATATTGCATATCAGTCATATTAAGTTATCCACTAGAATGTTATATACATGCAGATAAGGGTGTAAACAAATATTAGTTTATATTTTTAAATAAATGAAACTTAAGGGGCCATTCACAATGAGTTAGCTAATGTGAAAACTCCCTGAATTCAGGAAGAAACTAATAGTAATATCAGCATGATCAGAATATCCTGTTGAAAGGAATTGAATTTGGTGTTTTATTCATCAATTTTTGTAACAATCACCCCACAAGTGCCAAACTGTATTTTATTTTTATGTCAGGTTCACTGAAGGGCTTTGTAAGATAAAACGACAGGTTATAATAGTTTTTTTTTTTTTAAATCAGAATTATAAGTTATTTTTCATTTGAGAAATATGCCCTGGCCCCCACACCATATTTTCCGACTTTTTCACCACATGGCAGTCTTATCCCTGTTTAAATCCTGTTTTCCTTCTAGTTAGATATTGATTTTGCTCTTTTATTCAGTGGACAAACAGATGATTTGATTTGATTCCGGTTTCATGTAAGAAATACACCGATGAAAAACACTGAGGATATTGTTTTACATTTTATTGACATCTCTGGTCTTTTTATTGATGTTTTTGGGTTCTGACATTTAAAGACTGGTCTTGGTTTGAGTGCGTGAATTTAATAGGTAAATAGATAGTGTTGTAGGTGTAGATTTGAATGAGATTAAGTGATATCTATTGAACATTTATGATCAGTGAAATCCTATTTTTGGTGATTACAAGTTAACTTCTGCCTTTGAAGTGAACTTGTTTTGGAATTCTTGAATGGCTTTTAAGGTATCAGTTGATTTTGGTTGGATTTGCATAAAAACATTCTTTTCTCGAAGCATACAATGTTGATAGCCAAACTTAGTTTCAATTATCTCACTGCCACCATAAGTTTTGAAGAATTACCACATTTGAATATGTGGCATTGGTAGATTACTCTTACTTTAAGACCCTATGTATGCCAGTTTCTTTATTTTTGATGTCCAAATTGAGAGATATATTTATGCTTATCAGACTGAATTGCAAACAGACATAGCAGCTGCCAATCCATTAATTTAAACTATGATCAGTTCACACAATATGCAAGCCTCTTTTTTTTCTTCGTGTATGTATTGAGAACTTTGACTGACAGAAAAAAAATGTAGTTTGGTTGCACTGATACCTTGAATGCTTTGTAATTATAATATTCACTCTGTGTAGGTTCATCATGGGATAATCAGAGATATAGCATTCTTACATGGCAGCTGGCCCTGGGGGAGGGGAGAGAGGACACTCATGACAGTGGCTGCAGATGGAGTGTGTAAAGTAAGTGAAAGTAAAGAATAAATGGTTGGGTGTCAAATTATCAGGTCATTATTCAGTAAATATTACTTCATACAATGGTGGTTTTGATTTGAGATGCTAATTGTTACTACTAAGTAGCAAACCCCCCAAAGATGCAAACGTAAATTTTAATTCCATCCTAACTGATAATACATATGCATGTATACAAACAACCAGGCCTGTCTACTCCCATGTAAGATAACAGACTTCTAATCTCAGCAATAAGGAAATTAAACAATTTTCAAAAAAAAAAGAAATTATCCTGCCCCCTTCCCAAGAAAACTACCTATCTTTCGGAAGACCCAGAGACCTAATTTAGTCCATTACTTTTTCTGACGTCCCTTAGCAAAACCCCAAACCCCCAAAAAAGTTTGTAGCAACAAGTTTGCAGGAGTTTGCAAGAAAAAAATTACTGCTGGTAATTTGCAGTCATATTACAGCAAATATTGCAGCGAATTTGCTGCAAATTTACAGTAGGCCTGATATTTGCAGGAGTTTGCAAAAAAATTATTGCTGGTGTTTTTCAGTCATATTGCAGCAAATTTGCAGGAAGGAATTGCAGTTTACAGCAAATTTGCTGCAAATTTGCAGTAGGTCTGGTATTTTGCTGAGGAATGTTTTCTTTATCAGGTCGTGACTTTGATGTCCATGCAGTTTGTACAACCCTGTACAGTTATTATATTTTTGACCAGTTATTATATTTTTACATTGGATTTCTGTGCATCTGATACTCTCTCTCTTCCCAAGGTGGTGACCCTAGATGGCCGTACTCTCCATGCCGTCCACACAAACCAGTCCCTGAACACAGTGGCCCCCACACCAGAGACATATGGCTCAGCTGTTGATGATGGTTTCACTAGTAAGTTCCGTCTGTTAAAAGTCTGTTCATATTGCTTCGTAATCAGAACCCCTTGTTTGCTACATTTACTTCATGCTCTTCAGGACAAGATGAAACAAAGATTTCCTTCCTTTTGGTGTTGATTATATTACGTCTTCATGCCTTTTTCATGTTATATTGAATTAAATCAGGTTTGGTGATTGTCCACAGTGTATAAATTAAATATATTACCAGGTTTGGTGATGCTTGGAGGAGAGAACATCAGTGCTTACATTCCAGAATGTGGTGTGCAGGAAAAACTCAAGGACAATAAACTGGACGCTCCCATATGGAAACTCAGGTATAAGATTGTCTCTACTTTAATCATTTTTTGTGTGAGAATGCCAACCACAGTGGCCTTTTAGGATTTTTTTTTTTTTTTTGCTGTATATGATATAACTACATGATGGTATAAGAAGTGTTTGAAGTCTACAAGTCTATAGCAACCTTTCTAGAATAACAACATGGTCAAGACTAGGGACAAGGCTCACTCTTTGAACAAAAAAAGATAGAGATATTTGAAGCCTTAAATACCACCAGAAATAAAACTCTGACTTAAATATAGCTCTTACAGGCATGAAAAAATTCTGCTGTTTGAATGATTTTCCCTGCAGTGCAGCCTAGCAGGTCTTTATGTCATAAAGTTAAGCTTTTTAATATCTAAAACCCAATCTTATCCTCTTATATTTTGTCTTCCAACAGAGTCACAAATTTACATACGATCAAGAAACATGTTGCTTCCTCAGAATACAAAATATGGAAAATCAATTCCATCTTTTTCTGAGACAGCCTCAAACGTTTTAATCACCCTTCATATATTATTTTAGAATTGTTGATAATACTTAATTGGATGTATTTATTATTGATATCAGGTATACGTCTAATGGTAGTCAGCTGTTCTCAGCGTGTGATGAGGGGGTGGTAAGGAGGTATAGGAGGTGGCCGGACCATCACCAGTACCTGGGAGAGGTGTTCAGACATAAGAATGACATCGAAGATATGGACATATCGCCCTATGATGAATGTATCCTTTTGAAGAATGTGATTTTGATTTGAATGGCATTTTATGCTTTCATCAATTAATATTTAAATTTGTAAAATAACAAACCAGCAATAAGGATTTAAGTATTATGAAGACAGCTATGCAATATTTTTAAGGATTATATAATTATAATAAAGGTATCACTTTTATGCTGATGTTGTGAAGGCCTGGACCCAATTTATTATACAGTAAGAGGAGAAGGGTTCAGAATAGTTTTCAGTCTGTTCATTTGAAAAAAGACACTTAACTTGGTTCAGATCTTGTGACCTCATCGAAGGACCGCTCAGTTGGAGTGTATAAACTTGGACCACCCAATCATGGAGTATCCGAATACTGGGAGCTCACATGAGGGATGGGCAGCATTTCATTGAAGACCCTGTGGTATATGACCTTTGACCATTGTGGGATTGCCATGGAGCAAGTGCTGTCTTCCTCTTACAGTGATTACACGACATTTTGTGGCCAGTATGTGGATACAGGAGAAGATTCCTTATGAACCATGTTACTTTAATTCATCTGATCCCTTTAATTCATCTGCGTCATCCTTTAATATAACATAAGCATGATGTGTGTGTGGGGGGGGGGAGGTAATGATACAAAAGTTTTGGGAGAAAAGTATCCATTTCCAAATGAATTTACGAAGTGGTTAGCATAATGATTAAGAGCCTAGAGAGAGAGCAGCAGAAGTGGGACCAACATACCGGGAAGTGATTTTTTCGGCGGAAAAAAAGAAGAAAAAATGATTTGCATTTATCTGGAATGGCCTGTCAAAACCTGAAATGTTAACACTCAAGTCTTATGATCTGATTGTGCCTCATAAACGTTTTGAGAACTTTCCATGAAGTTCAGGAAGAAGATTGCAGAGTTGTTAGACAATTACCATCTCCATGGCTTCTATAAATCTGGGACATCTGGGATGCAGCATCCACTGTTGAAAGGATTGATATCTTAAAATGGAGCCCATTCATACTTCAGTTAAATGCTGCTATATATTGAACTGATACCCTTAGGTTTACTCAGAAGTTAACACAGCTTATTAAAGCTATATTTTGTAGTATTCATTTGTTTATTTATTTATTTTATCTTTGTGAGGAGGGTATAAAGACATTCCACTTGACTGAATCAATATGAATATATTTATATATTTTTACAATGCAGTATATTTGCTTCAAAATTTTTACAAATCTTGCGAAGTTGAGGCAAACAGTTTAAAGCAATGTCGTAGTTAAACAAAATTATTTCATTTTCACATGTAAAATTTGGCATTGGGCTGATAGTTTTAGCAGAGAATGGATTTTTTATCTTAATTCAATAGAAAAACTTCAGTTTTGATTAATAACTTGAAGTTTGTTTAATTATAAGAATATTATTTTGCTAAGAATAGCTGGAACCTGATAGTAATCATTTCTGTTTACAGCAATATTGTGTGCAATAAAATCTTTTGTTCAGCTCCAGTAAGTCAAAAAATTGAAATCTTCCAGATGCAATGTTTCAAGTATATACATGAAAAAAAAATACAGGTAATTAGTGAACAAAGTCTAGTGCTGAGGTTTTACAGAATCAGCATGGATTATTTTTGGAAATTGTTACAAGTTCAGCAGTGATTATCTTCCATTTGTGTGTGTATATTTTTCTTTGACATAAAGCAGTTACCCAAACTTACATCAGTAACATACCAACTTATTCCTTTCATGTAGCTACCATTTTTTAAAAAAATAAAACAAAATTCATCCCATGTTTGTCCAGTTTTTACTTATTATTACTTATCATTTGAAAAATTGATGTGTTTTACACACCTTATATTGCACCAGATTCACAAATTATGGCTAATTTGAATGATTTACTATTTGATTTTTTGTTAGAACATTTTAGTTATTTTCAAAATAAAAACTTAAGCCCCATCTGAAGGTACCATATTATGCAAATCTGGCACCTTATGCTAAATTGATGTATCTTCAATATTACCCCAAAATCCTAATACTGTGATTTAATGTTTGCCAAATGCCATACTTAATTTACTTTGACTCAAACATGTATCCAGCTCAGGTTTTTAATATGGGGGAAGTAACAATCTGTCATCAGTTTGAAGAAAATCTGTTTAAAAGAAGTACGTACCAGTCCCCTGTAATCCTGAAAGACCCTAACTGTAGTGTAGCCCATTTTAATTTGTTCACTTGGGGCCCTTGGACATGTGAATTCACAATTCCTTCATAGATGATTTTCAAATTACACCATAAAGGTTTTTAACTTTGAAACTAGCAAGGTTCTGACAGCTTATGCTTATTAGGCTTTTCGTGTGAAATTTTTTTCTCAGCTGGGTTAAATAGATCTAAATCATCTTTGAACATCCTACAGTCTGTAATGTAGGTCATGCCACTGGTATATCTTGTACAGTAGCAAACACACACTTAGGACATGCCATAGGAATATAGCCTTTCTTCTTGTAATACTGTGATAGCAACATTGCACTATTATTGAGTGGCAGACGACCTTTAGTGAGGTCATTGGACAACTGGGTCAGGGTCGTATCTAAAAACATCTTTTCAGTGAAGTTGTGTCCACACGTGAAAAGCACTGCCCTGACTGGCTGAGGGGAGCTAGAAACCTCTTCGTTGGTTTGTAGAAAAGATGGCCTTGCTGCAGTGAGATATTCTATCTCATTAGTGGACATTGTTATATGGCTCCTCTTTTCCACATCTTTGCTGAGGTTCTGAAGGATCTCCTGCCAGAGTTTGTCTATTGGTATAAGATTTTGTTCTGGCTCCACCTTCAGTCCAGCTGTCTCACCTGACAAGATCTGACAGTATTCTTCACAACCTTGACCTACAAACAAAAAATAGAAAAAAAATTAGAAAAAATTATAAGATTACAGTGCTGCTTCTTACCTGTACATAAAATGTTTATCATTTGTTACCCGGGATATCACACACACAGATAGAAGAGTGCATAGAAAGACCTCCTAGTTATATATTAAAACTATACAAAGAGCTGTATACTACATCTATATACTAGTTTATACAATCTAAAATACAACAGTATAACATTTAGCAAAATGTTTTTAGTTCATTCTTGGATAAAAGAGAACACTTTTCAGAGGTTTTCAACCTTGGAGGTCTTTCCACAGAGTGACACACTGGATGGACATTGGAATGAGACTAAATATCAAAAGCTTATAATTTATTTGTAAACAATAAGTACCTTTTTCTATTCGGTTCACTACATTTGCTGTCAGACCGAGAAGAAACTTGGTAGAGAATTGTTTTTTGATCTCTTCTGGAATATTGCCAAGTTTAGGATCAGTCGATACTTCATCCTCATTCAACTCACTGTTTTCTCTGAAATTTAAAATCATTAGCTGTAATTGTTTTGGCTTAGTCTTTTTACCACACCATTGACTGGCACATACAGACCCGTGTCAACTGGCATTAAATATAAAACACTACTGTCAAATTTTTCACTGAAACAAAAATGCTACACTAAGAGCGGATTCTCAACGAATTGAGCCAGGCTTTACAAAGCCGGTGACCTAAAAATGGCGGACGTACATGAAAGAAAAACCGCCTTATCTTTTAATAGTCTCTCTGCCTCCCCACACGTCGTCCCTGCGGGGTATAGTAATTAAATCTCGGCTCCAACCTCCAACTACATCTACTGGGGCTGGGTAGTTCTGTGAATATCTCTGGTGATATTATCTCTGTAGACAATCGATTCGTTGCTGCTCTACGGGCCAATTCATTCCTTTTCCGTCTCTGTTTTGACAGATAATAAAACAGAAGAGCTTTTTTTCTTCGAACGCCTTCAGCCGCCATGCTTTCTTCACCACGAGTTTAACTGATGAGCATGCGCACTTAATATTTCTCAGGTAGCTTCCGCATGGCGAACGGAGCCGAGATTTAATTACTGTATCCCGCAGGGACGACGTGTGGGGAGGCGGAGAGACTATTAAAAGATTAGGCGGTTTTCTTTCATGTACGTCCGCCATTTTTAGGTCACCTGGCTCAATTCGTTGAGAATCCGCTCTAAGTACCTGAAAGGTAAAACTTGGACAAATCAAGATTTATTTCAAAGTATATTTTAAAATGATGATTCTAAGAAATATTTAATAATTCATTTTGAAACAATCTTCCCATTCAAGGACCTTTCATATTCAATTTGCTACTAAAAGGAAAATACTTGACACAGTGTTCATTTTCTCATTCAGACTGGAAATAGTTGAACCCACAGTGTGCACCAAGTAGAAGTTGAATATCTGTGCTCAAAATCAGGTTAACTAGTGATGTCAGTTACATTTTTTCTGATCCAAGTTAACCCAGTTGTGAACATGACGTCCAGTTGCCTTGGTTACCTGATGGCCATTAAGCTGAGAGGGTATGCAATTTGGTCCATGTGTGAATTCAGCAAGGACTCCAAGTCTGAGACTGGCAACTTCTGGCGGTCCCAAAAATCAAACACCTAAAAGGGATGAGTTAAAATTTTGTAAAAGTTTGTAAACGCGATATTCTAAAGATAGACCAACGACTTTCTTTTTCAAAACAAACATTGTGATACAAAAAGCATGTTATAATTTCAGAGAAACATTTTCATTACTTCTAAGGCAATTCAAATGTCAGCTGTAACAATAAATTTAATTGTCAATATTTACCTGTCATAAAATCAGTTTAATTTTAAGTTTTTGCTTACGTGTCCTAATGTCTGCCTTATGGTCTCCTTAGCTGGCTCCCTCTGGTAGTGGTTCTGATGAAGACCACTGCACATAAATAATGTTAATATTCTAAATACGTTTAAACAATATCTTACACTGATAGTTACAGACTAGAGCCTGGGATTTGAAACAAATATTTGAACATTTATCATTAGACCATACATATAATCAGCCCCAAGTCTAGGAACTGCCTAAGGTCCCATCAAAACAGAATTTAATACCATGAACAGAATTCTGATTCAAAGGAAAAATCTGTAGAAACCAAATTGTCAATGAATTTTATTTTGTTAGCATGATTCATCTATTTAACTAACGAACTTACATAAAATGCAAAACTTTTAATCCAAAATTATATACTGTCGACATTTAAAACTTTGTTTGTGTAAGCCTACCTAGATAGGCTGACATGCTTCAGGTAAAAATTGATAATCCTTGCTGCAGTTTGACACATATTCTCCACCTGTCCTGCACACTGGGACAGCCATCTTAGACGGTAGTACAGCGCCTGGATTAGAGGGAAAATCTTGATCAATAGAGGGTACTGGGGAAGACAGGATTGTGCCGTGATGTGATGTCAAGTGGTGTAAGACTTGAAGCTGATTGGTCATTTTTAGCTGGAGGTAAATAGGACTGAAGATGTGGGCTTAGAGGCAAAAGCAGTTTTTCCATCAACAAAGTGAGATAACATATTTTTCTTTTGGTATTTTGGGCAGAAAATACTTGTAGAAATAATAGGCACATGATATGAAAATGTGTTACGATACTTGAAGGTGCAAAATTGTGCTTAATTTGCAGTGAATTTGTTTTGAAAGATATGCTGCATCGACCCAGGCACGGTGATATATGGCCTATTTCCTAAGGCCCATTTCGCGGCAGACCATTTTATTTTTGGCACTTCCTTCTAATTTACATTGTACCTCACTCTCCAACCATTAGCAAGGAGGGCCTTGATGGCATCCTCAGACCATGATACTCTTTTGCTGCTGCTCATAATCATAGTACTCAAATAGCTGCGAGGATTTCCCGCAAACAAGATCAGTTGATTAATTGCCCACTTGTGTGCATGTGTTCCATATGTACTTGACCGCGATTTGGAGTTAACTCAGCTCCTGATCTGGGTTTATTTCGACCGCGGTTAGGGGTACGTCATCCGTTCACTTTAGAAAAGTTAACCCCAATAGGCCTGAGGTCAGACCTTGACCGTGGTTGAAAGTGCTAGTGTGAATGGCCTACTTAACACTAGGTTGATCTTACCTGTGAGTAGAGCCCCCCTGACTGGCAGACGTCTGCTGCAGACTGACAGTCCTCATGATCTATGCACATCCTCAACAATTTTGTAGGTTCACAAAAACTAGACATATGCTGAAAACAGATGTCTGATTTTAAATTAAAGACATATTTTTGTTTGATCACACAAGTTTGCTGCAGTAATAATTATATAAATGTATAAATAATCAAAACCACATGATCTTATCTGGTTCACCAAGTTTTCATACATGTAGCTTACTAAAACTTATTCTAATTGTTCTGAGTGAAAAAAAAATATTTCTCAAAATATCAAAACTTTTGCTTTTAATTTTGTTAAAAAAAGTAATTAAAGACAGAGGATAAAAATCAACAGCAACAAACAATTCACCTTCAAGACAACAGCAATGACCTGGGAACCATACGGAGGATCAACAACAGTTGACAAGTTTGGGATCTCCAAGGACTCGCTGACATCCTCATAGCAGTCATCAGACCACTGCAAACATAACAAGATTATTTTATAAGTGAAGTATACTTGCTGTGAATACTAGAATTCACTTGTTACTTTTTCCAAGTAAAGATAAACAGCATTTCAATGATCACAAATATCTTTTTAACAGGAACTTTTAAAAGAAACAATTTTATAGATACCAATTTGCTAAATATACAGTTCAAACTTCTGTAGAATGATAAAAGCCCCCATATAATGTGTCCATCAAGTGACATCAATTCATCTAACTTCAGTTCAAGACAGTCCAGGTTTAAGCCCCCTTTCCTGTTCACCTACCCA